TACTGGTAGTCTCGAAAGACTACTTATTAACGAAAAATTAATCGCTACCAATTCCATACTGGAACCTGATGCAAACTGAGTAGACATTGATATCACCCTGTAATTGTTGCATATTCTGCAAAGCCCATGCAAAATCCCTGGGACATGTATTTTTTGCTGAAAGCACTTTATACACAAGCAAATTCACGAAAGACCTCAGCTGAGGTTCTCATCAGCGCCACGACCAACAATGTTGATTATGCAAAAGCAAATTTAGAAAGCTACAGACACAGGCCACTTTTGACAGTTACATGGTCATTTGCGCTTCTCTCTTTGTATCTGATCGCACAAATATGATATTTGAGTCGTTTTATTTTCAGGCCTTATGATAAATTAGTCTGCTTATTATATTTAACGTGATAGTCGTTTATCTTTCCTCATCACTCTCAACAGAGGAGCACAGCTTGCGTCAAAAGAAGCGGCATTTTAACGAGGCTGGTGAGCATGGTTCCCCAAAAATCCATTATTACGTTGTCTATTATCGACTCACTAGCCTTAGAACGGATTTCGTCCAGACTAAGCTTGTTCCCTTATACAGCATTATCACAGACAGGTCATGTGCATGTACAAGTTCAGTGCTATTGTAATGTCATCAAGTACTTTTGTCCGGCATAAATGCCGTTTCCAATCTCCAGTGTGAGAATTTAGCGTGGCCTTAATACTTCTTCATTTGAAACAAAATGTACCTTTAGCAGTCAACAAGACATTAAGCGCACGATTGTTTGCTCATCCCATACTTTAAATTTTATATGCTAAATATAAATGAGAGGGAAATTTAGACGTTTATGCAATATTAGTTGATCGGAAAGTAATTTTTATTCTTATCATTTTCCTGATATTTTATAGATTACTTATTGTTCCCATCAATAACTCTTGTCTTTATTCTTACCCAGCTATCTTCTGGTGAGCTAAATCGGCCTATTATATTTTTCGAATATGTTATTTTTATAAATATTAAGAACACATTGATAGCTAAAATAATTTTCCGAGCATATTTGAATCAGGCGGGTATTTTCTATTGTTATTTGTGAATGGTACCTCTTAGAACATTGATCTAACTACATTTATCTTAAAGACACAATAGCTATAGATGTATATGCTAGAGATAAAATAAAAAATGCCCTCTGCCAGACTGCTTTAAAGAATATTTTATAGAAAATTTTCTCCTAAACAATACTTGAATCTTTAAGCCAATTTCCAAGCATTGTTTGTTCTAGCTGTCTGATAAATGGTCATGCAGTTGTATCTTAAGTCCATGTACACTAGAGCACAGCAGGCTTCCTCATTTAGCGTTTGGCTAGATTTAAGTGAAATATGAATTCTTCATCATAAGCCTGGAAGACCCATTCCGTCATTAACAAGGCTATTTGAAGTTAAAGGTATCGTCTGAAATCACGAACTATAATCTTCTTTTTACTATTTAACTTTATTATACTAAACTCATTTCAGAGTTTTTCTGTGACTCATTCACACATAAAATGAATTACATATTTAAGGATGCTCTCTATTTGGTAAGGTTTCGCTGGGTTGTGCTTTGCTTTTAGACTGCTTTTCGTTACTTACGTTTGCATCAATGGAACTTCCAGATTTTTAAGGAATTTAAATTTATCTATTTTGGTACATTCTAAATTAAGGATGGCTTATCCTCACCTTCATAAAAGATTTTGTTCACTACTTCTTTGCCTAATGTAATTCGCTTCGTTAGTGAACAGAACAGATTTGATTTTGGATTTTTATTTCGTCAACATAATATTTAAACAAATAAAATTATATATAACGGTATTTTTGTATACTTTGTGATCGTTTTAGTGTCAGTTATGTCTTATCCAAAGTAAGTTGTTATAGTATTCTGAATTCTCTTTAGTATGAAATGAACACTGCACTTATTCATGGGAGCACTTTAAGTTGTTAATAGCTCAAAAAAGAGCGGACACAAGTGCTGGGAGGGATAACGCCTCGGATCCCCACTAGCTTATGTTTAGTTGGCCTCACCGGAAATCAAAGAAGGGTTGTATTTTGATAAAATCGTTGGATTATGCGAATAAGTCCTCGATTTACTGTCCTGCTACCTCGATGACCCCGTGCAGAACCTTAGTCAGGTGACAGGCATCTTCAGAAAGATAAAGCAATATACTAATATAACAATTCATCAATATACTATACCAAGAGAAAAGTTGGTCAGCTGCACTTTGGTAGATTGAGTAGTACATTAATTCGGGACAATTATCTATTAAGATTAAATGTTAATTACTTTTAGATACTCATAAATAGAATGAGTGGGAAGAGCTATTTATTGCGGGACTGACATATAGACTACTCTATCCTCTCCCTGATTTTACCATCCTCTCAGCTTGCTTAAATGTAGATGAGCAACTGAGAAAGGGGATATCAGTATACTCTTCACACAACCAAACATTCTTCACTACACGGCAATTCTCCTTCGGTTGCCGATAAGGCCAATTCATGAATTCATTCTAAGCAACTCCTTCTCAGAAATAAAAAGTTGATCTATATGTACAAATATGCCTTGTTTATTTGCGGTCACTAATACCTGGCTAGTAGGTTCAAACTTCCCTGAACCTAACTAAACTTCAAATTAAATTTTTATTTACTTTCAGGAGTGCGACCTGGCCACTGAAGCAATGGTACTTAATTCCGAACGGTGTCTGCGTCGATTATCCTCTGAAAAGGAGCTTCGCGCTAATCTCGAACGGATGGTTGAACAGCTGGCCCGACAACACCAGGCATTAGAGAAGCAACTCAACGAAGCCCAGCGTTGTTCGAGGGTTAACGAGAGAGGTGTTGATGTCCGCAATCACCATCATAATTACCTTTTCAATCATAAACAAAAGCAGATTGTAGAGAATAACAGCGCCTTATTGAGAAGCGGAGGACCGGAGCGCGGAGATATGGGCGAGTTTTCCACTGGCTTCGTTGCGACTGGCGCAAACCGTTCGAAGAATGATCAAAGTGATATGGAGCCTCATTTATTCACGCCCAAGGAGCATTCGAATTGCAATACATTAAAACCTTTATCCTCACCCATTCATCACTCCGATATTCCTTCTTCAGCTTCCGGTAATTGAATGACTCTATTTACTCGAAAGCGTTTTACGAATCCTCTTAAGTTTTTACACTTGATTTTGGGGTTACACATCCTTTTACTTATTGGTATCGCAAGCATGCATGAAAGACGTTTGGGTGGTTAAGAATGTAGAGTTATTTCTGTATGTTCAACTAGGATTGTGATAGAAATAAAAAGGATGTTTCGATGGCTTGGTAGGCAAAGCAGGCAAACTGATTCTTATCAGGAGGCTTTCGCATCCCAACCAAGTAACATTTGCAATTTACCGGGACGTTTTGGCTTCCAAATGATCGGTCTTTATGCACCCTAACTACATATTCGCGATCTAACTACTGATTTAAAAGAATGCATATCTTGGATAGTAGGGATTTTTTTATTCACTTCAGTTCGGCCCCTCAAACTCAATTGAGACCGAATCTGCCATTTTACGCAGCAGGCCTTTTCTCATCAGCTTTCTTTCTTTCACACAGACTACACATTATTCATAAATACGACAGAACAGTTAGTTTGTATATCTCATTGGATTGATTTCTCCACAAGTCTATCTTCCTGGGCTTGACGTATCCTGGTGTGTCACTCATCTCCCTCTATCTCAGCGCTACATTCCTGCTTATACAGAATAACACAACAACGCTCATTTCCCATCTCTTCTATGCCTACAAACTGCGTCTATATTACATTCTCATTAAAATATTCTTTTCTCTACTCTATTCAGCCTCTAAGCAACATTCTTTCACCATCTATCTTTCCTATAGGCCTCGGGTAAGATTCCCTATGAACTTTATATAGACAACAACAGATGTATGACTAGGCGTAACTTTAAAATTTACCCTCCGATAGAAGTTGTTTGACCTTGTTTTCGCAACTTGGTCATATTGGCACAAAGACTTATAGGAACGCATCTTGTCCGCAGTCCATAGTATGCATGATACTTTCCAGAGTCGGACCGTGGACTTAGTACATTCCCAAACGTTTCACCGGCATTGTCAGTGAGCCTTGTCATTCTTAGCACCACACTATAACTCGTCAAAGAGACAAGTGAAGTCGATCCTTTGATCAAATGTGGGCTAAACGGTTGTGGTATCTCTCCTTCTGGCCTGGGATATTCACATATCCTATATGCTAGAATATTCCTCATCACAACTACAGACTGAAGATCGTAATAATGAGGAGTATCATCTCAGAAGCTTAAGACTAACGGATACTGAGTTCTAAAACGAAGAACTCGAGAAATTGAATTGGATTTGATTTAATAACAGGTAACATAGAGAACTTATAGAAAGAAATATAGGGGTTATAAAGAGCAGTTTCAGCTAGGATTTTATGAAAATAAGATCAGACATCGGGAGGACGACAAAAGGTGGATATGCCTGCCTTTCTATGAACTTAGCCAGAAATTGCGACCTTTGATAAGAAAATGGAATATCAAAGTGATAACAAAATAAAAGAAAACACTCTTCAAAAGTCTGCAGATGCAACATGAGAAGGTTGACAGATTGGATTAGTCGGGAGTCTATAACATTAAATGAGGCTACTGTAAGCAGAAGTATGTTGGTGAAACAGACAGAAAAATTAGCTTACTCACTAAGGAACACCAAAGACTGCAGAAAGATAGACACTGAAGAATAGGAAATAATGGAACACACCGCATAAATGAGACACGAAATCGAGTGGAAATCGACAGGACTGGTTGCATATGGTGTAAATACAAGAAGCCATTTATATCTTGACTGAAAGAAACCTAATGAACAGGAGGAAACTTGAAGAAGATAGGATTAGCGAAACCATTACATACTGCCTAAAAAAACTAGGAGAAGATTATGGACCAGCAATATCATCAAAAAGAAGATGACTGGACAAAGGTAATACTTTTAGTTTTAGGAAAATAACCAGACCAGAGAGGAAGAATCGGAAACCAAGAGAAGGCTTATACGATTAGCCTACTCAAATAAAGTAGAGCAATCACGTTTTGGGGTTGGCACGTAATAGAATGTCATAGAAGAGCGAGAGAAACGGTAGTGGCCATTTCTAGTTGGCTATTACTAGATAAGTTTGCTCATAGACGTGGTCCATGAAGTAAAGGCTTCACTACGAGATTTACTTGGTGCACAAACAGCACAGCAATACGGGAATCTGCAGTTTCAAGTTAGGTTGTCATGCGAATTGATAATCCAGACTTTAGGGGGTTGCTCAGTGAGGCTGGTGTATATCTGCTATCAAAGTCTTGATGCAGAGTTTAGAACATAACGCCTTGAGTAGCATGGATACGATGACAGCGATGGAGTGAAATCACGTAAACAAGCAGATAAGGAAAGGATCCTACGGAGCAAGAGGGGACTTTGATAGGAACAAAAGGTAAAAGACTGGGGATTAAACCGCAGCCTTGGATCAACACTCCCAGCAGAGTGGGAGGGATGAGTAAACCAGCGAGGAGTGTGAATAAATTTCAAATAGGTCTAGATAAATAAGAAATTGTGATGTTAAAGGCGTGATACGAGGATATATGAGAGATGAATTGCCCAGGACAGATGGAGAGATACCACAACTTTTTAGCACACATTTAGTCAAAGGATCTACTTCACGTGTCTGACGAGTTGTAGTGTATTGCTGAGAATGGCAAGGTTCAGTGACAATGCCGGCTAAACGTCTGGGAATGTACCAAGTCCACTGTTCGACTCTGGAAATAATCATGAATACTATGGATTCCGGGCAAGGTGCGTTCCTCTAGGTCTTCTTGCCAATATGACCAAGTTGCGAAAACAAGGTCAAACAACTTCTATACAACGAAATGATAGTTTGCCTCTTTGTAAGTCTAGCTGCAGCTTTTCCCCACATGTCCAGCCACTTTAAACTCTTCTAAGTTTGGTTTGAACGAGCAAACGATTATCATTAGCTAACTTTATTGATTTCAGTCATTGTATTATGCTGAAAGGCTGTAAATGAGACCTATCAGAGAAATTTTTAAGTCTTCATGGGCGAAAAACTAACAAATAAAATAGTCTTTTTATTTAACCACTTAATTCGCTAGCGGTATACTACTTTGTCACAAAAGTTGCTATCCAAACGTTTAAAAAACGTTGGCTTTACTTGTCTGCTAAATATATTCCATAAGCTCTCTTTATTGACAATGTTTATCTTCAATGCAAGGGCTTTTGAGGACAAATTAAGTCCTGCAAATTTGTTATGTAGTTCCATGGACTCATCGCCAAAGAGTAGACGATTGTCTTTGAGGGTCAAATAATTTCCGCCTTTTTACGATTTATGTTAGCGTACATTCGAGTTTCAAATATTGCAAAGATGTTGCTTATATATTTTATTTCGCGACCCTTTCATCGTGGTTTGGGGTTGCGCAATAAGCGAAGAGCGTTTTAACAATAAATATCCCTACCTTATTCCATTATATGATTGAACCCAATGAGATTGATTCCTTCGATGGGCTACGGGCGATATTGCTTACGCGCATGTTAGATTGGCATTCAGGTGTGTTTTAGCCCTTCTAAAAATATCTACTATATTTCACTTGCTATCTTATATTAGCCTATGGCTGTTTTCGATTTATATTAAATGCCAACAATTATGCTTGTCTATACTTTCACTCTTCGTGCACTATGGACAACACTCATAAATTTGTGAAAGTATGTGTACTTCGGCAACTTCATTTACCTACGAGGCAACTATGCTACGGTTAAAGTTTGTTTTATGAGGTGTATTTACTATATTCCGCCACATTGCCACGGGTGCCCTTGGGTCACAGGGAAGATGCGAATTTCAAAAAATCCTATTTATTCTTTCACCAAGTCTTCATGGTTTATAATTGAGTTTTATTTTTCTCGCCTCTTGTAAAGAGCTCTTATTTTTACACGAAACTGTGAATTTGAATTTGGATCAATTAGCTATTAATTTAAATTTATTATTTCAAAATCCTGCATTTTTCAATATTAACAGGTAATAAGAGTTGCCACAGTTGGGATGCGAAGGAATAGCTGATTTATTTCGTCATGAAACTTTTCTCTCTTATTTGAGATGTTCATTTTTCTTTTAAAAACCTAAATTGCTATCCTATAATGAAGTCGTAATGTTTTATTTCCCCTATTCTCAATGAAATTGAAAGAAATGGTTAACTCTTAGTTTCTATCCAAAACCCGAGGCAACCTTATCATGACAATTTTAAAATATCCGTGTTCGCAAATGAACTTTTGTTTATGTTAGTTTATAATTTTTTGGTGTGGCGAGAATATAAGCTGCAGTGCTCATGCTCAATTCCTATTGAGGGTGCTTATGAGGCCCAGGCAAAGTCGAATCTACAGTTTTCTTTGAATGAGAATATCTTTGGAGATACAAGGGTACAAGGGTAGGATGATTACAGCTCGAATAATTTGGTTATCGAGATAGTTCTTTCAAATAGCAATTTTCTAGCGAAATATTTAATCTAGAAACAGACTGGATTCATTAGGTCGTTCGATTTTTGGCCCTTACCTGAATTATGACTGCTTCGGTTGGCTTTGCTATAAAAGTGATAGTACTATTTTTTTTTATTCTCATTATTTTTCGAAAAACGCTATCAATTCTATCGTGCTTCAACAATTTATATATCCTTTTTTTTATATTTCTTGATTGCTTATGGTGTCTTACTTTTTATTGTCTTACATCATATTCCCTCCTCATTTGTTCTGTTTGTTTGTATATTGTTTCCTTTGTTTTGCCAGAGTGCCAGTTTGACTTTTACTCCCGAATTGATGAGTTAAACTCTGCAGCACTTTCTGGAATTTCTAAAAACCTTCCTGGCACTCAATCCATGGCTGTTTCTTATGCTAATCGCACTATCGAGTCCCCTGCACCTAACACTGGGACCAATAAAGTGGTTGACCTTGATCAACAAGATGGTGGTAACGAAGAAGGCGATGAGGATGACCTATTCTACGATGCCCAATCGACTTGCTCCACGTTAGTGCGTCAAAATACTCTGTCTTTCCCCATCCAAACCGAACCCGTTGCTTTGGGTTCCAGCTTTGGGCATCCAATGAAGTCCAATCTTTACTCTTCATCTGGTGTTCAGGTAAACATTTTACATGTTTTGGGATTCATAATTGTATACATTTTTTATATTACGATACACGTCTAACTTTAGTCTTGGCTTACCTAATATTTATCTTAGCATCCAATATGGAAATTAAACATGTAATGTCCCCTACTTTTAAATCACTGAGATGGAATTGTATATTTATGCACATAGTATTGTTTATTTTACTATTTAATATCTCGCTTCAACTAATTTGACCCCACTTATTAGATCAGGTTCGTACTTTATCATTTTGTTAACTTCACTTATTTTCTTCCCCGAATACTATTGTTATTAGCTTTTCTATTAGATATGTTTATTTAAATTTTTTTTGTTTCACTTTCCAATTCATCCTTTATTGTGAACTTATCCTAATTGCTGCATGCTTCCGATCACTCCAATAAAATCTATGTTTTAGATATAAACTTATAATGACTTTAAACCCTTCACCTTTTAATTTAATTACGACTTCAGGTTATCGAAATTTTGCTTGTAAACTAATAATCTAATGTGACAAAGCAGACCTTAAATCAAGAGTTTGTCTGAGTTGTGTTCAGCCTATTTCATTTAGGGTGAGGAGGGACTTTTGCTTGATAAGACCTAGGTGAGATCGAAACTGCAGTTCACCCTGGATGAGAACATCTTTTAGGGGAGCAAGGCTATGTGAAATTCAAGGGAAACGTTAGATCTACTGATATCATTGTGGGAGAATTCAACTACCAGTCCTTCATCACTTTAAACGAAAAAGGGTGAGCACAACTCATATGTCTGATATACTGATAGTCTCGAAAACATACTCAAAATCAAAACAAGATTTTGCTAGTCTTCAAATAGGAACCACCAGTTTCCTATACTTTTGTTAAACTGGACCTTTGATAATAAATGTTTTATGACCTGGCATAGGATGCCATGTGACCTCTTTCGTAAACCTATGATTATCAGTTTCTACCATAGCTTTTAGAGCTTTTTCAGCAAAATTACGTTTGACTTTTCATAAACCCATAATTAGCTGTTTATACTATAGCTTTTGGAATATTTTTCTCAAAAATTATGATGTGCCTTATTTGCATGAGTTTTGTGTTCATTTAACTGCTTAGTATTTTTCAAAACTTTACACTTGTATCACGATGTTTTATGGCGAAACATTATCTATGAAAATAGCTTTATTCTTGAGAGAAATTGCTATTTATGTTATAGGCTAAAACATGATTTTTTTTGCAATAATTGACGAGATATACTCATTCATAATAATAGTCGGAATGATGGTGAATTTAAATTCGCTTGATGAGTCGATATTTAAGAGATCGAATTGAATCATAACTCAATTGCTTAAACTTCCTTATCAGCAAGAGTCGTTGCCACGAGTAACGGTCAGGATAATTTTTCTTGTTCGAAGACCAATGCATTATCTCACTCATTCCAGCAATAATTATAAATATTTTTTATGTGCGCTTACAGCAAAGTGCTGCCTTTATTGAGAGCATAAATTATCCTCCTTTTAAATATTTTAGCATCTCTTAATTTTGGAAGCGTACTGGTAGACGACGGGTAAGCCATGCAATAGGTCATGACAAATTAATGTACGCTGGACAAGTTTTTCTTAGCTACATTTGGAGCATTAATATTGGAAAAAAACACTCAGACAGCCTTACGAGAGGTTAGATTAGCTTACCTTGATCTATCAGAAGGCTAATTAATTGACAGCTAAGAACATTTATACTAAATAGCTTACAGATTGGTAGGCACCCAGATTAATGACAAACACTTGATGGGCTATCTTTAATAAATCCCCTTATAATTTTGTAAATTAGTGTAGGCTTGTTGTTTCATGAACGTCATCCTTGTTTAATATTATGTGGCTGGGGTCTCGTGACTTGAACGCTAATGCTTTACACCCTTAAACAGCACGTATGTGATTCGTATCCGGTTGGGAGTGCTGATGAGATGTAGATGAATTTGAAAGTTCATTCAAATTTGGGAGGAAAAGGATTTTTGGCATAAATAGATAACTAGCTTCATTGAGTATTATCTTCCATTTCTTATGCTCTTGAAGGTATGAAGACCATGCCAGTGGGGCTTTTGTATGGTCATGGTCTCCTTTCGTTGTATAGAAGTTGTTTGACCTTGTTTTCGCAACTTTGTCATATTGGCAGGAAGACCTAGAGGAACTCACCTTGCCCGGAGTCCATAGTATTCATGATTATTTCCAGAGTCGAATCGTGGATTTGGTACATTCCCAGAGGTTTTGCTGGCATCTTCAGTGAGCCTTGCCATTCTTAGCCCACACTAAAACTCGCCAAAGAGACACGTGAAGTCGATCCTTTGACCAAATGTGTGCTAAACAATTGTGGTATCTCTCCTTCTGTCCTGGTCTATTCATCTCTCATATATCCTCGTACCACCCTTTCAATATCACAATTTATTAATTGTTTATCTAGAGCTACTTGAAATCTATTCACACTTCCTACTGGTTTCCTCATCTCTCCACTTTGCCGGGAGTTTTTATCCAATTATGCGGTTTACTCCGCAATCGTCTCTCCGGTTCCTATCAGAGTCCCCTCTTGCTCCGTAGGATCCTTCCCTTATCTGCTTGTTTAAGTGATTTCACTCCAACACTGCCACCTTATCCGTGATTTTCTAGGCCAGTGATTCCCAAACTGTGCGCCTCGGTGCCCCGGGGAGCCGCGACCTCTACGTGATTTCACTCCATCGCTGTCATCGTATCCATGCTACTCAAGGCGTTATGTTCTAAACTCTGCATCAAGACTTTGATAGCACATATACACCAGCCTCACTGAGCAAGCCCCTAACGCCTGAATTCTCAATTGGCATGACAACCTAACTTGACGCTGCAGATTATCGTATCGCTGTGATGCATGTGCACCGAGTAAATCTGGTGGTCAAGCTTATACTTCATGGATCACGTCCATGAGCAAACTTATCTACTAATAGCCAACTAGAAATGGCCACCACTGTTTATCTCACTCTTCTATGACATTATCCTGCGTACCAACTCCAAAATGTGATGCTTCCACCTGATTTGATTAAGCTCTTTGTATAAGTCTTATCTTGGTTTCCAATTGTTCCTCTCTGATATCCTTATAATTTCTTTTCATAAAATGCCTTTAAAATGATCATGCATACCATG